AAGCAGAACAAGGTATATGAACTGATATGGATCACAGACTTTTGCAAACAAAAAAATCATGGATATTCTATGAAAGCAAAACTAAAAACATTTTCACTGATCAAAAATAGAAGTTTTAGAAAATCAGCATCAGGGTACGTACACTGCAGTTTATCCGAGATCTTTCATGCTGTTTCATGAGAAGAATCACAGCAACAGCCACAGCCCCAACAATCACGGCCCCAAGCACTATTCCAATAATCCTTGCTGATTTTGTTGGTGGATCTGTGGAAGGAGGTCAAGGTTAATTCTGTAATGTTGTTTAAATTAAACATTTTATTCCTAATCTGAGTTATGCTGCAAAGGTAGGAAGAACACCAGCTGGATGAGGAAGAGGAAGAGGAGCAGAGAGAAAGGAAGTCATGACAGGTATTTATAGAAGCGTCATACCTGTAAAAATCACCCACACTGTTTTTTCATGGATCCCTACAGAGTTACTTGCCCTGCAGGTATAATTTCCCTTATGATCTGTCTTGGAGATGGTGTAAATGCCGTCCTGTGTTGGTAATCGCTGGCCCTTTAACATCCAAACAATATTCGGGGGAGGATTCCCTTTAGCGCTGCAGTTTAACACAGCAGAAGAATCACGCAACACATGGAGCAGAGTTTCTATTGGGGTAATAGTGGGTTTATCTGTTAAAGAGAAGAGAACCCAGTATTACTGACAGTACAAAATCTCAGGCAATGTAAATCCCCAGCAAGCATGTATGTGACAGTCAGCCAAGGAACCATGAGCAGAGTCTCCTTATGATGTAGCTGATGCCTTAGAAATCTCCATGTAAACAGCCACAGTATTAATCACAATGTTAACAATAAGTGGAAGATCATGGAAGAACACAAGAATTATATTTAATATGAATTATATCAGTGAATTACATTTGCCCATGCCACGGTGATGGGCATGACACCTAAACTTTGTTCAATATCTCTATGGGGAGCCCCGAGTTCTTTTATTTATATACAGTTATTTATGGTTTAAGGTTCGACATGTTAGCTCTCGCTGAATTGGCATGAGTTTCTGCTGTTCTTAACTACTAAGTGTCACGCCCAGTTCATCCGATCCTCGTGTTTGCCACGCCCCCTCATTACCCACATGTTCTACCCTGATTGTTCCAAGCTGTTTGATGTTATTTCCGGCTTGTTCAGTGCATATCAGTCCACGTCTTCATCCGTTTACCAAATCCATCATTGATGTTGTGTGCCGTGTTGCTCGTTTCCCCTCAATAAACACCGTTTGCCCGTATTTCTGGCTCCACTCATCTGTCTGCCTACTCGTCTGCAACGTTACATGACACTAAAAATACTTCATTTACTTGTATGTTCCTGTTATCATGTAAATTACTAATTCTCATTGTTTGTTCTTTACGTTTCTTTATCCGTGTGATATATTGTATAAAACCAATAAAAATATTGTTGAAAAAAAAGAATACTTCTCATGAAATAATCAATGACTTCTGTAGTAAAATGAAAAGATTTCTGTACTTTCAAACCTTAATTTGTCTTACATGTAAATAAATAAATACTGTTACACCCTGTGGTTTGTCTTCCTGTTAATTACCAATTCAGTATCTTTAACAGGAAACAAAATCACCACACACACCTTAATAGTTCCTATGAAGTTTCCCTTAAATCAGATAATTTCCTATCTTAGAAACTGATCTTACCTTAGAGAAATGATTTCGGGTGTGCTAGTACTTTTAAACACAACCAAATTTCAAAGTCAATTCTAATAGCACCGTTAAATGCTTAGCACATTCATGGAATTAACATTACCATACATTAGCAACACACAATAAACCCAACACATTTACAAAGTCCAGTTGAATGGTCATTGAAAGCTCACAAAAGCTCCTATGCTGGCAGTATTGAAAACTAAAGTGTCCCCCTCAATGCAGGCCTGATAACGTCGCTTGGGAGTGGTGAGACCCAACATCAAAGCGGCCACTTCGCTCTATGAGCAAACAAAAAATATAGAAGCTGCCGTTTTAGAAGAGAAGCAAAGTGTCAACGTGGGGCAATGCATGGAACCCCATATCTCCTGCAGACCCATTTGTGCTGGTGTCGAGTTTCCCCTTCGTCCAGATGAACAGCGAACCTGTTCTCTGAAGTTGTAGCAAACTCAGTCCACCAAGTCCGTGTACCTTCAGGACAATGTTAACTGATACTGTGTCGGAGACCATGTTTAGCTTAAGATGGCGGCTAAACGTCATGACGCACTTACTTTTAATACTACTCACGCGGTATTAAACTTGAGAAATACTTTGCATACACAGTCGCTGTTAAAGTAGTTATCAATCCGACAAATTTTATCATGCGTAATTCCACTTCTAGAGGTGGATATTAACTGTACAATTACAACTTTCCTCAACACAGCGTCAAACTAGCTGTCTGCGCTTAGCCATCCCCTCCCCCCGATACCTCCTCCAACAGGTTCAGGTTCAAAGGTCACTATCCATTTTCATCCAATAAACTCACAGAAATTAACAAAAAATATTTTAAAATACAGATTAAATTCAGGCTATGAGAAAATAAACACATTTTGGCACAGTACATTCAATTGGCTCGTGTCCAGTTCATATCCCCATTCTCACCATGAATGTGCCCAATAAATCTACCCGTTTAATTTAAAAAAAAAATCGCTTATTGTCCCTTAATCAAAGTGACCAAAATAAATTTTAGCACAGTTGGGGGGGGGGGGGGGGTTGTACTGGACTGTGACCAAACAAATAAACAGGCACACAGATCCCGGGACAAAAAGGACTGAAGGTGACTGGCCAGGAAGCCATATTCCTATAGGCACAGAGAGATGCTGCTGCTACAGACAGCCAGTGATAACAGATTAATACTGCAGGTATTTCAGGAAGAGACAGACAATTCTGACTCTCACTGTGACGTTACTGATTTAGACTGTAATACTGTACTTAGATTCATACAGACAATGATAATTCACTCTGAATAAACTGTTCTAATGTTGGTGACACAGGCAGACTGAAGTTAAATACTCACAGTGCACAGTGATATTGAGGGGTGTTGATTTCATTGCTAGGGGGGGTTGTGGTCCTTCTGGTCCCAGGTCCAGTTCTGCCCAACAGCTGTACTCTGCTCCATCATCAGCTCTGCTGGGGGTGATCAGGAGGATGGAGGCCACACTCACAGGTGCCTTTTCTCTGTCAGACTTTCTATCTTCTATGACATAGTCTCTGTCTTCATATACTAATGTGTCCCCTTTGTACCACTTCACAGTGAGGTTCTGAACAGGAGCGATGTTCTGGATCTCACACTTCAGCTGGTACTGACTCCCTTCCATCATGGAGTCAGTAGAGTCCATAGAACTGACAGAAACACTGTCTGGGGGTTCTGTGAGGGAAAATGAGAAGCATTATTTCTCAAAAATAACTCACACATGAGACAGCTGTGCCTTATAGGAACAGAGACACACAGAGACATCCATGCCTTACAGTGAAATATTCTGCTGGGTTTTACTGATGTTTTAAGGTGATGCTCAGGTTGAATATTTCCCAGGTGTATGAGAGCTGACAGCTGCAGTAGCTCCATCAGAAGAGACACACTTACTGTACACAGTGACTGAGAGACGTTCCATACATTGAGCTTTTCCTGGACGGTTTGCAAAACACAGAGGCTTTATGTCCCAGATTCTCAGACTTTCCACCCTCCAAGTGACAAACTGGACACCAGGTGTAATAGGTACGTCATCTACTGGAGCTGCCCAGCCCATCCCACTGTGATCTGTGGACACTGTGCAGTTCACTGATACTGGGTCTCCATGTCTCACCACCACTCTGGGAGGATGGAGCTCAAGACAGCCATCAGCAGCTACAAAAAAGAATGGCAGCAATAAGCGATACTGGGTTTGAGTCTCGCGAAATCACTTCAGCTGGGGACGGGAAAGCTGCAGTATTTACTATCCATGTAACTATAAGCTACTGGCAAAGACAAAAAATATCAGGAATAATATTATTAGTGGAGTCCTGATGGTACTTTGTGCTGCTGGGTTGAACCAGGCAGTGACTGACAGTGCATGATGGGATCTGGCCTCATTTCAGCTAAAACGCTACTGAGCACAGGCTGGTCTCCCTCCCAGCCGACCTTCACAGCTTACACAGGACTTACCACGGTCCTACTCTGACTGGGCAAATGCAAAGGGTACGAGAGCACAGGGCTGGTCTTTTTTTTTTTTTTTTTTAAAGCATCACTCCACTCACTCCTCAATCAAGTAAATAAATCAAGCAAATAAAATTGGGCTCAGCCTGAAAGTCTAATTTATTAACACCAGTGTCGTTACTTGCGAAGTGTAATACACTATATATTACTTGTTACTGGTATTCAGATGTAATCCGCTACATTACTATCTCAGAATTGTAATTGTTACATGACTTCTGTAACTTTTCAGTTACTTTCACCAAAATAACTGTGAAGATGTAACTTGACATCCTAATTAAAAAAAAAATATTGCAGATCATTACATGCTCAGTAGAAGGTCATGTTTGGTTACATAATGATTATGTGCTAACCAGGCTACAAATAATATGATTAATATAACTGGCAAAGTAAGGGCTTAAAAGACAATTCAAGAAACATTAACAGCAAAAATGAAAAATTACCAGAATTTGAATAACATCATAATAGAGGTGGAATAAATATTAAGTCTAGGCTTGTTCATCATTAAACAAAACAGAGCTATATCCCACATTACTGCTTACTATAATGACAAGAAAAGATGATTTTTTTCCCTTACGATTCTCATTCCTTTATTCTCTTTGAATTCAAGAGATTCACAACATAAGTCTTGCATAATGCACGATGGGTGTAGCTTATGATTTCTCATTGTACAGTACAATACAATACGGATGACTATTCCTCAATCTCAGTGATTTCAAAAGAAGAATATAGGCTGAACACTAACAGCTAAGACAACACAGGCCAAATAAAGACCCATAAGCATATGCCTTCAAAAAAGACAACAAAACAGAATAAATTAGGATCCTTGATAAAGTCAGGTAAAAATGTTTTCAAGAATACGAAACTGAAATTGAAGTGCTGGGCCTATGAGGCCTTACACTTACAGAAACATGGCTTAGTCATTTCAAACTCAGTTAACTCAAAGTTCAGTCACAGAGGAAAAAAAACTGCCTATAAGATCTCACAGCAATGCTCAATAAGCCAAACTCAAAAAGTTTAATGAAAAAATGGAAATGAAAAAAGTTCTGTTCTCTGCCAAATGTAAAGTTGAGGAAGTATGTCGGCTGAACACTGAGGTAACAAAAAATGTGGTTGGCTAATACGTATATGGAAGGTAGGGGCGACTCTATTCCATTACACCCACTTGACTGAAATATCTGTTGTAGCGCATCAGAAGAAGGCGCTGAAAACGCCCATCACTAAGCCGGTTGCGTTTTGGGGTGAGAACAAGGCTCCCAAGACTAAAGAGTCTTGGTGTAGGTGCGTTATAGCGTAGTGCAATTTTCGTAATTCTTGGAAACTGGTGCAGGCTTTCCATGACTGGACCAACACTGAAATAAGATGCTATCTCTGTTTCCACCGATGCTGGTGCATCAGCTACGGCACTGGACTGTTCATCAAACGAAAACAAGTCATCCTCACGGGAGGTGACTGCAGTGGGTTGAGTGGCATCGTTCATCGGGGTCACAGAGTCTTCTAATGTAAGGGAGCGGCACTCTGTCATGAGGAGGTGCTTAATATGGTCCTTTCTTGTCTCCTCTTTTACCCAGTGGAGCTTGAGTTTAGGCAGTGAAATAGAGGCCAGTAGGGTCAGCTAGTGGCCTGTCTATAATCCGGACACAGGCATCATAAAATGAGTTCCAGCAGGTTACTGAGGGCACAATCAACTTTCTCTCACTTAAAGTCTCTGGGCACTCAGATGCAACTGTGGTCCAAAGTGCTGAACACTTGACTGTTGAACTTCGATACACAGCCCTAGATTCTGGGCTTGAAGCCAACCACTTGTTAATCTCATTGGTAGCCATCAGGTTGAGTGTGTGGGCTGCACACCAATGATGTGAAGGCAGCACACGCAGGCTTTGCTGGGCTTACTCATCTTCTCCTCCAGTTAGGAGATTGTGAAGGCCACCTCCCCGTCATACTCCTCTTCCTCCTCCTCAGATTCCACTTGTTTATTCTTTGAAGGCTTTAATAAAGTTGCTGCCATTGTCTGTGACACATGCTGTCACTTTGTCGGTAGATAAGTCATGCTGGGAAAAAATATCCTCAAGTTCAGATGCAGTTGCATCAAATGTGTGTCTGCCTCTGAATCTACGACATGCGACCGCGCCCTTCTTTCGCTGCGACGTCGTCGGATCGATCCAATGGACCGTAATCCCCAAAAAGCTCTTGTTGTGGGCTGTCCATATGTCAGCAGTTGTTGACACATACGGCTGTTCATCGATCGTTTTCTTGAGCTCTTCTTCCATGGCAGCATAAGCTCTATCCAGTTCTTTGGCAAATGTTGTTCTGCATGGCAATACAGACTGAAAAATAAGTAAAATACACATTAAACTCCATTTCATGATCATGCTGCGCTAATTACCCATTTGAATGTGTCTGTTTCAAAGAGTAGCCTATGCATTAAAGATTGTAGCAGTGATTCTAGGCTGAAACATAAAGTGGGGCAAACTGGCTCTGTTTGTTTGAAATCTCGCTTCAAGCGTCAACAGAAGTGACATCACCAGTAATCGCTGATACAACCTTTAAATGGTCAGTAGATAACTTTTGGTTAATGCCCTTTTTTGGCTATATATTTTTATCCGGTGAAAATATATAAGATCTACGACTCTACATGAACTAGAAAACATAGCTAGAAAGTAGCCTAATGGAAACTTTAGCTTACCTTGTCATTGCTGGTCACGAGGATCTTGCTAACTAGATTCTTGAAAGCAGGAAATTCCACCGCTGACAACTATATATTCTGCAACAAGTCTTCTGACTTCTCGAGGTTGCATGATGGCAGACCGTGTGAAACTTAATTTCTGCTGCCTTGGCTGATCACTCTCGTCACCCGTTTTCTTTCTGTTTGCACGCCAGCGCTCGAGATGTTTTTTCAAATCGCTAGTGCTATTTCTCGACGTCGGTAGTTCTTTGGGGTTTGGGCAAAGATTGCACTTAAAACATTCCTTTTGTCCTTATCCCTGACGAACTCAAAGTAACGCGCAAACGTCCACCTCGCAAAAGTACTGTCTTCTGCCATCTCACCGGAGAAGCAAGCCTCATGTGATGCACTGTGCAAGATTTGTTCTGACCTGCTTAGCATGTTGCCGTGACCGTTAGCAGCAAATGCCATGTGAGAAGATGTCAAAGTTAGTATGTCCTGTTGTCTTTCACACCTAGTTGAGTTTACACACTTTTATTTTTGTACATGCAGCAAGAGAAGCAAGGGGCGTGCACCAATTACAGCACATTTCCCACCACACAATGAACCACCTCAGGGATGAGAGCCTGAGTGCAGCCGTGCAGTGGGTGATACCTCAGGAGCGCATTAGTCCGATTGGACCTGTGTGAGTTTTTTTTTTTCCAGTGGATGAAGTGCCAATCCTGCCACCAACCCCCAAATGTCCCTGTAAGTCCCTGTAAGTCTACCTTCAAAAAATGCCTCAAGACCCATCTGCTCCATGAATGCCTCTCCTAACCTGATTGTTCTGTGCTGTTATGTTGCATTTATTGGGTGTTCAATAGTCTCATTAAGTTCTTGGGTGTTCAATAGTCTCATTAAGTTCTTGGGTATTCAATAGTCTCATTAAGTTCTTGCTTTGTTAATAGTTATGTGCTGTTGTACTGCTGTTGTGTAGCTCCTGCTCCAGCACCGCTTACACTTGTACCTGGGCATTGATTGGCAGCTCAGCCTAAATGCACTTATGCCTATTAGACTCATTGATAGCATGGATGTTTGCAATGTGCCATTTGCCTCACTTGTATGTCGCTTTGGATAAAAGCTTCTGCAAAATATGTAAATGCAAGTAGCAGCTTTAGACACTAAAAACACAGGAACAATAAGTAACACGGACGACAAAAAACACACACAGTTTTCAAAAAGATATTGTGTTCAATGCTTTTTTCTGATAAGTGGTTTAATACTCACACGGCTACCTAAGCAACAACACGTTAGTTAGTATTGATACTCTAAATTATTGAAATGACACACATTTCCTGATCAGACCAGGACTGGCCCACACATTACTTCACCACATAGCTTTATTTGGTAAGACTTTACCTGAGGCGGCACAAATTCTTAGTAATAACTCAGTTACTACTGAAGTACAAATCATGAACAAATATAGTCGCTAATTGAGATGATGCGTCATGATTCATTAACATGAGATCAGTATTTCACGTGTTATTCATTGATTGTTCCTTCAGTAGTTCACAAAGATTTACAGAATTAACAGGTATGTAACTAAGACATAGTTTGTCTTTAATTAATACATAAGTAATAACGTAATTCTGTGTTACTTGCCCCGTCAAGTAAAGTGTTACTCTTTATCTAATTAAATTTTGATTTGTGTATGAATAAAACTTTGCGTAAAATGAAATATGTAATTTTTACAAAGGAAACTGACAGAAATCATAAAAACCCGGCATCTGTAAGTGTGGGAAGCGTACGAGAACAGAGTAGCAGGCTGGAATCTCCAAACTCACCGACTCCGATGGCCAGAATCAAGCAGAGGGCCGACACCTGCGTGGATCTCATCTCGCGTCTCTGCATCAAGGATGGAGTCTGGCTTGCAGTTCAGTTCTGACCCTGTTTGGGCTGGTTTTTCTAGATTTAGAAGCAAATTATCTGACTATTGAAAGGACGGTGGAAA